GTTTGTCCCCTCGTTCTATGACTATTGGCTACGAGCGCCGCTGACGTCCCAAGTAAGCTCTGCACACTGAAGGACGTTTTGTAAGTGAAATCGAAAAAAAGGAAGACGAAGTCTCACATCGGTGTCCATAAGAGTTGCGAGGCTTCGGGTATGAAAAGGAGAATGGGCAGACTACTACGATATCTCATGGTGGAAGAGAGAAGAGAGGGCGAACATAAATGTGAGGTAACGGAAGAGGAGCTAGAAAACGGAGAAACCTGATATACGACAAGGATTAAAAGTTTAAGCCTTACTAACCAGAGATAACTTTGTATTAGGATCATGGAGGAAAATGAGGTAATGGACAAAATTCGTAACTCGGAACTCATATAATGACGGGGAATTAATCTTTAAACCGGGCTTCGACTGGGGATGAAAGGAAATCCCGTAGACAATAAACGGAATTCCATGTGATAAATGAAATCAATTCCGGAAAGTCTAGCTATTGGAGCAATCATATACATGTATACTGGTAACCTTAGTAGAGTCTAGATAAAATCAAGGCTCTGAATAGGAGTTCGCCAGTCAGCTTCCCGAGTATGATGTGACAAACTCCGTGTATAATGTGACAAACTCCAGGTGTAATGTGACTGCTTGTGTGGAAAATTAAATTTACCTGGATGAATCTCATTAGATACATACCAGTAAATGGTAACAAATATAATTATTCTTTATCAAAGTTACAGAGACAAGTAGGAATTTTAGGACACCTAAGTCGCAAAAAATGTCCCCCTTCGATACCTACTACAATCTATATCTCCACAAGTCACTCTGGACCTATATTAATTTCAAATGAAATATACATCACCAGGAATTCTGGTAAAACATTAATTTAAATGTGGACTGTATATTAAATTTAAAATGAATACATATACATTGAAGGAGAATTTATCTTAATATCACTCACCAATTAGTCCGGAGATTATGGTGTGTCATACACAAAACCCCCTGCCTAAAATATGAAGAAAATACTGGCCAGAATTTCAACATAAATATAGACATCACTCAGCTGTGGTAATATCCTGTTTCCATCTAATTACGGAATCCTGTCCAATCGCCGAATTCTCACGTTATGCAGGACTGCAATTCCAACAATTTCGGCTCCTATTTGAGAAGTTTTAAGCCTAGTATAACCTCTAGAGCGACGAAAATTCTTCCGATTTTCACTAACATTTCTCCGTCAGTTCAAAACAATGGCGACTCTCCCCCCAGCGACGCTCACCTATTTCGCTGGTTCTTTATTTACAAATTAATTTTTATTACCTACAATATATTCCATCAATTTACGTACAAAAAACACTGTATTTTCGGAAAATGTACAGTATTTTCCACAGCTTGTAAGTAAATTCAGTTTACTAAGTAAGACACGCAGCTTTTACAAACATTTTGTTTGTTTTTCACGACATTAGGTTATCCAAGAGATAGCCAAGGAATTAGTCTTTGGCAGGGCTCCATGAGGCTCCATGCGAAAGGTATCAATTTTGTTTTGAATACAGTGAACCTAGGGTTGTGTTATGTATCCTGGAAGGGAAATGAGTAGCCTTTAGATAAGATTTTATAGGACATGGCCCCTGGAAGAAGGATTGGGGATAGAGAAAAGACTGTGTAGTCTAAGGTATCAACGATGATTGAGATCTCTCCAGTAATGGGAGACCTTATAGCGGTGGTAATGCTTATATGTATACTTCATTGTAAGTGGTAGTGGTGGTTTGATATACCATATTAGTAGCTGCGAGAGGCGATGGTATCGATTAAGATAACTGAGATTAGAAAAGGTGTTGATGGATGAGGGAGACAGTGGTGATTAGAGGTGGTGACTCTAGAGGCAGTTTAGAGGTGAGGGGAGGTTGTAACTGGAGAGTTAAATTATTTGGAGATGGTTGAGGAAGGTAGTACTGATCAAACAAAAATCACTTAGCAAGGCGAGCCTTTACAGGTGACGTTTGGGACAGGTCAGGCAATAGTTGGAGTAGCGACTGTATGGAGTAAGAGTATTAGTTGGGTGAAGGAATAAGGACTGGATGAAGGAATAAGAGAGTTGGGTGAAGGGGTGGTAGTTAAGAAGACAGTCATGGTTAGGAAATTAATAAAGATTATCTGTTTTTTAATGGTTTTTTTAGCCAGGAGGTAAAGGTGATTATATTACAAAATAACATTGTATCTAAGTAATAATGGGCGACACTGCACTTATATTTTTATAAATATTCTTTTATACCATTTATATCCATGCTTGTAGAGTTTTTCTGCCTAAAAGTTGCTAAAGAACTTTGCAGATGTGTACATGATTGGGTAAACTAGTAAAACTAGCAGTCTTATAGTTCTTAAAAAAATATAAATACTGAATCTTACGAAGCTTTATGTCAAACAGCCCATGCCATTGCACAATGTATAGGATCCAACCAAGATATTAGGGACGCAATGTATTTTAAAATAAATGAAAATAAATATATGGCACTAACTAGGGAAATCTGTCAGATATTTTGCAGAAATTATGGCTAAAATGAATTACAGCAACTAGTGAATATACGGGCAGGTGTAGCCAGATACTGTACAATATCGTGGAGACCCTGCAAAAATGAGATTAGTAAGAAGGGGACAAACATAATAGGAAAGAGCTTAGTTAAGATGTGAATATTTTATCGTTACGTGCTTAAATCTGGCTAACTTGTGAAATGTGATGAAATTACAAGACAGGAAAAGGGATATATGGATAAAGCTGACAAGATAATGATCCCAATGCAACAAAAGCCAAGATGTTTAAGGGATTTTTGAGTGAAGCAGACAAGAAGAGGGATACGTACCCGCAGGAAGAAGACTTTGAGGTGAAGGAAGACCCATCGATGCTTTAAAGAGAAACATAAACTAGGCTATACGCTAACCGTAGCTGCCAGCTGCTGCACAGTCGCAAATTACATCTTTTGGACACTTAACTTTCCATTGTGCAGGCATGTGAACTAAATGCAATGGCAGAGCAGTTCTTGAAATTTATAGCAAACACTACACAAGTGTTTGAAGAAGAGGTGGCGATCTGGGGAAGTACAGTATGTGTTCGAATTATGTAAATCTCAAATCGAGGCAGAAGCCAATTCAGTGAACCAGTTTCTCAATTACTGTCAATCCATGTGAAGATTTAAAGTAACTGTTACTAGGATTGAATTCTGGTGAGGATTACGCCAATTTGTTCAATAACAACAAAATTTATGATTGAATAACATTAAGTAAACAGTGTAAGGATATCCCAAGCAGAGGTTGCATCTTTAAAATGATTCTGTGGATGTGATGATGAAGTGTTGAAATGAGTCATATAAATGAATATTATTTAGATCAGGGAAATGAGCTGTTTGCTGCATTTATAGATTTAGAAAAGTCTGACGTTAATGTGCAAAGGGAAGCGACGTGGCTGGTGTTGCAGTTGTTGAGATAAGTGATGTTGTTAAAGGTTGAAAGAGTTTTTATAAGTTGTTTGATGTCTCTAGGGTTGTTTAATGTATTCACAAATGGTCCTTTTTAAATATGGGAATGCCAAAGTGTTGGGAATGTAAAATGAAAAAAAAAAAACTTCACATTTGTACCTTACTGATGGCACTGAAGAGTGATTCAGGAGAGAGAAAAATGTAGATATTGGAGAAGCAGTTTGGAAGGATATTTAAAAGGACGTTAAACAGTCAGCGTAGAAAAGAGCAAGTTGATGAGAATAAATAGGGAGAAATTGGATGTCAGATCAGAAGGAAGGCATTATGGATAAAAGAAATGTATTCATATATTTGGGAGTGGTCTTGTCAACAGATGGCTCTATTGACGATGAAGTGAACAACAAAGTAGATGAGAGGACATAACAGGGTTGTTAAGGAGTCTGTGAAAGTGTTTTGGTTTAATAATGGTCTAGTGATACTGCAGCGACTTCAGTCAAGCAATATGGATTCACGAAATTTGGATATTATGATAAGACACAGTAGGCTACATACATATCCCTTAATTTTAATATAGGACTGAGAAGAGCAACCACTCGCCACCTCTGTCTTCAACATAATTTTCGTATCAATCCTAGAGCAGCACAGTCTACATCTTTTCTACATTCTACTTAAGTTTCGCAAGCTAATTGCGTCTAGCCTTAAGGGATTAGTTAAAATACAGTCATTTATCCATGGCTACTGACGAAAAAACTTTTTTTATTATTGTCATTCATACATTTGGCGTGCCAAACTGCCAGCACACGAGAGAAAATAAGACTTAACAATGTAAGTCTTTATTGGATAGTTTCACTTGATTTAAAATTTAATGAAGGTTAAGACTGTTCTGGTGACTTGACCAACAGAGGCTCACCTTGCTAAGTGTTTTTCGTGTTAAACCTGTACGGTCATACTTTCACTCATTCACAAATAGCATTCTCGAAAGAACTTTAAACGACGTTTCGGTCCGTCTTGTACCATTATCAAGTTGACAAGACGCATGTGCAGTAGTTAGGTATCTTCTTTGGGAAACGTTTCGGCCATATGGTAGGCTTCTTCAGTCGAGTACAGTGGAGGTAGCAGAACTAATAGAGATGTGAAGATGTAATCAGTCCATCATCCTTGAAAACGTAGTTTTGAGGTGACCAGTCCCTCAAGGGACTGACCACCTCAAAACTACGTCCCTCAAGGGACTGACTACCTCAGACTACGTCCCTCGAAGGACTACGTATTCAAGGGAAATGGACTGATTTCATCGTCTTTACATCTCGACTGCTTCTGCAGCCTCCTCTGTACTCGACTGAAGAAGCCTACTGTGTAGGCGAAACGTTTCGGAATGAAGACATCTAACTTGCACGTATCGGTATTTTATACCATTATTAAGTTGTGACTTGATTGTGGACCAGGACGGACTGTAACGTCATCTAGTGTTTCATCTTAAAGTGTTGGTTATTTACGAAATGTCCCAGCAGTGGTATTTATCAAGTTGTAAAGTAAAGGGACACAAGTGCAGCTAATGTGACATTTTATTGTGGCAACGTTTCGCTCTCCAGGAGCTTTGTCAAGCGTTACAAAGCTCCTGGAGAGCGAAACGTTGCCACAATAAAAAGTCACACACACACACACACACACACACACACACACACACACACACACACACACACACACACACACACACACACACACACACACACACACACACACACACACATATATATATATATATTTCACACTTTCATCCGGATAAATCTCGCACATCTTCCCTTCTCATCAGCAGTGCAAATGACTTAAAATTATAATCAATATCGACCTGAAAATTGTGTTTTCTTGGTTTTCATCATATATCCTGTACCATGTCATTCCCTTTAGAATACGACTGTAAACAGACACTCCAGACAATTTGCCTGCCAAGGTAAATATACTCGGTCTTCCTCTACCTAAGATTTATTCCCTCCTCTAAGGCAAATATCTTCTTATCTGCTCACAGGCTTCCCCTCCCCTTGACGTGTTGGTTTGAGTCTTACCTTGTGAGTATGTGAGGTTACACGGTAGTGAGGAGGCTGGAGTGACGGTGATGTCAACAGTGCCTGAGGTTGGGTCCCGCCCCAGCATTCCCAGGTCCACAGAGTGTTGCTGTACAATGCCAGGCGTGCCCAGAATTGGGTGACTCGGACTAGTTAGACCCACGCCTTTTCCCGACACAAACAAAATGCAATACGTTAACATCTTGGGATTAGCTTTGAAAATAGGCTAGGCAGCTATACAAGTGAGAATGGTTGGGTGTGAGAAAACGGAGTGTGGAAAATCTCTAGCTAAGATAGGCCTCGCAGCAATGAGTTCAAGTTGGAGAAATTTAGATTTACAAAGTATTTAGGGAAGTCCTGGCTTGGAAATAGAGTTGGACATGAATGGAACAGACTCTTATATAGCGTTATTAAGGCAAGAACTTTGAGAAGCTTTAAATATTGAGTGGGTGTGAGCTGAACCTGCTAATTATGGGCTAGTATGCCTGCTGCGATGTTCTCTTGTTCTTGTGTTCTTGAGGATGTCTAACATGGGCCAATGGCCAATAGGCCTACACACACACACACACACACACACACACACACACACACACACACACACACACACACACACACACACACACACACACACACACACTTGAGGGGAAAACACGAAATAAATAAAAATTATCTAACAAAAATAATTAGCGCTGCTATATTTATGACAGATATAGAAAGCTGGCGAAAGGCTCTTGATTCGGGGGACTAGAGATATTCCCTTTCATTTCCCTGACGCTACATGACTCCCACGGATTGTGCAGTTATATTCCAGGTAAGGCATTAAAATCTAAGATGCTTTTTGACCCTCATGGGTTTAGCGCTTCCTCGCTCAACATAATAATTTAGACAAGGAATAATTTTTATGTAAGTGGCTTAGAAAACCGACAAGTAAATGAATGACACATACGTGCAATACATGGGCATCTTTATTGTAGAAACGTTTCGCCCACCAGGGCCTTCGCCGTTTTTCAATGTATTGGATTGATAAAGGCCACTTCTTGATTCGCCGGTACTCTCCCGGCCCTGGTCTTTTCCAGATGGTGACCCGGCCTTGGCTCCCTGTCTTGGGAGTGTCTGAGACCTATGTCTCCCATGGGAGGAGGTACAAGTACCTCCTCATCTTCTGGGACCAAGTGTCCCCAGCCCTATCCCCATTCCCCGCCCTCACGGGGCTCGTAGGGAGAAGCTAGGCCTCTGGTCCGCCATCTTCCACGCCTCAGGGATGGATCGTGGGAATGGCAGTCTTGTGAGCTGCAGGTGGTAGCAAGCTCTGGCTCTGGCACTTTCCCCGCCCTAGGAGTGCTCGTGGGAATGGTGTCCCGAATGTAAATAAGCCACTGGTTGATCAAACGTTTCCCCACTAGAGAGATGATATTCGAAGGAAGACTATTTACCTTGGGAATGGGCGCAGGCAGGACATGGGGCAGGAGTTGTGGTGAGTGTGACTGGGTTGGCTTGTGATGCACCACCCACAGCACCTTCAGACTCACGACCATTGCCCTGGGCCCTGGCGGCCATGCGACCACTTTGCTTCAGCAGTCTCAGGATGTCTTTCTTGATTGAGTCCATCTGGCCATATGCTCTTGCAGTCTCCCGTTTTCTGTCTTCTCGCAGTTCATACCTGAATCGAGTGTAATATATATATATATATATATATATATATATATATATATATATATATATATATATATATATATATTAGTCACGAAAAGCGCTTGGAATTTCACTACTCTTTCACAGTGGTTGTTTTGCATATTTTAAAATCACCTGTTTACTGTGATCTTTTTGCATATATATGTATGTATGTATGTATGTGCAGTAATCGCGATCGAGCATTAGAAGATGCAAAATAACCACAGGGAGAATAGAATGAGAGCTCTAGGCCTTTCGTGTTGTATTTCTGGAGAGAGACGTTTCCCTGAACGAATCTGCCTGGATTTCCTACTCTTTCTGCAACATGCAAGCTGATAAATTAGACACATGTGTCTAATTTATCAACGTGTCGGTTCTGTGAACCATTCATCTACAACATGCAAGCTCCTAATGATGTGTTGATTGCAACACGAAAGGGCTAGAGCTGTATTATATAAATATATAAAATGCATCCCAAAAGTACCCCAATGGAAATAAGTCACTCTGACTTTTTTTTGGGTTATCCTAGGTTCTCTACACACATATTGCTATGCATGATGATATATGTAACTGTATTTGTGTATACTTTAGTTTAGCAGTTCTTGAGGAGGGTTTACAGTAGACCGAAAATATTCGTTTTATTTCTGTACTGTTGAATGTGGGTTACTCGATTGTATTAATCATACGGTGAGTGTATGGTTTACTCGGTATAATGTATATGTAAGTACTGTATATGCTACGACTCAGCCAACAGAGGAGAAAAGTATACCTAAATTAAGAGTGAGAAGAGAGAAGCATATACCAAACTAAGAGGGAAAGAGCTTACATACCTGAGGCTGGAGATGTCCTGCTTGATCTCGAGAAGATCGTCCTCATTCACTCCATCTTGACGGTGCTGTTTCTTGGTCTGGTGGATGAAACGTGAGACCAAACGACGCATCACCTCTGCGTACCTGTTGGACTGACTCATGCGGCCAGGTGGTGCCCCTCCCTGCCTCTCCGCACACCAAGACAGCAAGGAGTTGAAAAGAATAAGAAGAGAGATTTATTATGGAAATGGTGTGGGTGTGAAAACAAAGACGGAGTGAGATGGGAGAGGCAAAGAGGTGTAGAAGGAAAGGAAACGAATGAAAGGGAGGACGGAGATACTTGGTAAAGATGAATAATCAAAAGAAATTACAGCATATAGTGAGGTTATCTATAAAAAGATATTACGTAGATATTAAAACTTGGGAATAATTTTAGAATTTGCAAATTAGACTGAATTTCAAAAAACTGTTAAGGAAATAGTTACTATTAAACACAGTTTATACTCTTACTAGTCCGGTGCCAATTATGTCAAGGTAAACAAACCACTGAACGGTTGGGGTTGGAATCCATGGCAAGTGAGTCGCAAAACTCCAGGCAGTGCATAAACCAGTGGTTGGCACTGAATTTTAAACTCCATTTAACTTCTCACAAAAATGCTTATCTCTGATGTAAATATCACTTCAATACAAGTGGACTCACCTGTAAAGTGCCTTTCTCCATAGTGAAACTCCTTCTCTTGTCAGAGCGTCTTCGACCTCTACGGTAGCAGATGTACTGAAGGCAGTTCTTGACGTTCCTCATACAGTAGAAAATAGCCTTGGGGCTAATGATGAGGTTGAAAGGTGCTGGTAAGGTGGAACCCGGGTCGAAGTAGCTCATCCATAGCTTAGAACGAGCAAATTTCCACTCTTGGTCAGCATGGTCCTGCGTGGCGTGTGTTCAGATAACAATTGTCACCATGTTAATTATGTCGGGTTGGAACCCAAGGCACGGTTACCTAGCTAAGGCACATTAACAGTGTTGACTGTGAGAAAAGATATTCAATTTTTGATATGTCCTGTGGCCCATTATAAAAAAACTGTAATGGAAATATAAAAAATGGTATGGTGTTCTGTAATATCTGAGGATAATTAGTTTCAGTTAAATGTAAGATAGTTTGACGATGTAAAAGATTACATACACATCAACACCTGGTACTCTGTGTCAGCTGGTAGGAAGATTGTTCTGTGTACTCTGTGTCAGCTGGTAGGAAGATTGTTCTGTGTACTCTGTGTCAGCTGGTTGGAAGATTGTTCTAGAAGTGTACTCTGTCAGCTGGTAGGAAGATTGTTCTATGTACTCAGTGTCAGCTGGTAGGAAGATTGTTCTGTGTACTCTGTGTCAGCTGGTAGGAAGACTTTTTCTGTGTACTCAGTGTCAGCTGGTAGGAAGATTGTTCTGTGTACTCTGTGTCAGCTGGTAGGAAGACTGTTCTGTGTACTCTGTGTCAGCTGGTAGGAAGACTGCTCTGTGTACTCTGTCAGCTGGTAGGAAGACTTTTCTGTGTACTCTGTGTCAGCTGGTAGGAAGATTGTTCTGTGTACTCTGTGTCAGCTGGTAGGAAGATTGTTCTGTGTACTCTGTGTCAGCTGGTGGGAAGACTGTTCTGTGTACTCTGTGTCAGCTGGTAGGAAGACTGTTCTGTGTAAATCTGTCAGCTGGTAGGAAGATTGTTCTGTGTACTCTGTGTCAGCTGGTAGGAAGATTGTTCTGTGTACTCTGTGTCAGCTGGTAGGAAGATTGTTCTGTGTACTCTGTCAGCTGGTAGGAAGATTGTTCTGTGTACTCTGTCAGCTGGTAGGAAGATTGTTCTGTGTACTCTGTGTCAGCTGGTAGGAAGACTGTTCTGTGTACTCTGTGTCAGCTGGTAGGAAGATTGTTCTGTGTACTCTGTGTCAGCTGGTAGAAAGACTGTTATGTGTACTCTGTGTCAGCTGGTAGGAAGACTGCTCTGTGTACTCTGTCAGCTGGTAGGAAGACTGTTCTGTGTACTCTGTGTCAGCTGGTAGGAAGATTGTTCTGTGTACTCTGTGTCGGCTGGTAGGAAGATTGTTCTGTGTACTCTGTGTCAGCTGGTAGGAAGATTGTTCTGTGTACTCTGTGTCAGCTGGTAGGAAGATTGTTCTGTGTACTCTGTGTCAGCTGGTAGGAAGATTGTTCTGTGTACTCTGTGTCAGCTAGTAGGAAGACTGTTCTGTGTACTGTGTCAGCTGGTAGGAAGACTGTTCTCTGTACTCTGTGTCAGCTGGTAGGAAGATTGTTCCATGTACTCTGTCAGCTAGTAGGAAGATTGTTCCATATACTGTCATCTAGTAGGAAGATTGTTCCATGTACTCTGTCAGCTAGTAGGAAGATTGTTCCATGTACTCTGTCAGCTAGTAGGAAGATTGTTCCATGTACTCTGTCAGCTAGTAGGAAGATTGTTCCATGTACTCTGTCAGCTAGTAGGAAGATTGTTCCATGTACTCTGTCAGCTGGTGGAAAGATTGTTCCACGTACTGTCAGCTGGTAGGAAGATTGTTCCATGTACTCTGTCAGCTAGTAGGAAGATTGTTCCATGTACTCTGTCAGCTGGTGGAAAGATTGTTCCATGTACTCTGTCAGCTGGTAGGAAGATTGTTCCATGTACTCTGTCAGCTGGTAGGAAGATTGTTCCATGTACTCTGTCAGCTAGTAGGAAGATTGTTCCATGTACTCTTGTCAGTTGGTAGGAAGATTGTTCCATGTACTCTGTCAGCTGGTAGGAAGATTGTTCCATGTACTCTGTCAGCTGGTAGGAAGATTGTTCCATGTACTCTTGTCACCTGCAGGAAGATTTTTCCCAATATCCTGTGTCACCTAGCACGAAGAGTTTCGCACACCCTCTGTCACCTGGCAGGAAGATTGAGTTTACCTGAAGTATACCTGGAGAGGGTTTCGGAGGTCAACGCCTCCGCGGCCCGGTCTGTGATCAGGCCTCGTGGTGGATCAGGGCCTGATAAACCAGGCTGTTACCGCTGGCCGCACGCATAACTTCGTTTTATGACATAAGTCGAACTTCTCGATATTTGTCATTACAGTTAGTAAATATAAGCAACTAATGGGTTGACATCAGACAAGTATAAACTTTTAAAATAGACAATATTTTTATGTAACATCATTACTTTAAACTTTGAGACAGCATGATTATTGCTCTAAAAATTCAAAGGATATTTTTTAAAACTTAAAAAATAATCATGTTTGTATAAAATGGCTAATTCTTGCCAGTTTCAATTGACATTAATTCCACACATTCCAAACCACACTGGCATTATACTTTGATTATATGCGTACTAAATATCACGCAAAGATAAATAAATTCTCACTGCTTATGTGTTACAGATGACAAAAATGTCTGTTAGAAAGTTCGATATATAGGACTATCATGCTATTTTGAGGTGACTCAGTTATTTTGTTTATCCTTAAAGGCAAATCTATATAATTTCAGTTTTGCTCTCAGAGAATATCAGTATTTAGTAAGGTTAGGTTAGGTAAGATTTGTCAGAAAACAGGACAATTGTTTCCTGACGCGGGTCATAGTCATATTATGAACGCCACTGGAGCTTTTGGTCATCTGACCGTCTTCAGCTGGCTTACCGGTCCATCCCTTGAAAAATTAATATTATTGACGTAGTATTAGGTATCAAAGAGCTAAACATGTGTGCCTCTAATGAATACCACTGTAAGATAGCAAGGGAAGCGGTAATTTGTAGTCATTACGGACTGCATGATGACCTGTATCTCAAATTTAGACTAGTGTGGGGGGGGGGCTAACACACTGACCCGTGGCTGTGATGCTTCCTGCAGAGTACCAGAGTGTCGAGGTGTGTGGAACAGGAGTAGGGCAGGGACATCCCACCTTCACTTTTCCCAGTAGAGGCCAAAATCGTAACTCCGATAAAAAAAAGTTCTGAAGCTTAAGACTAAGCATCTTGTACTTAACCCACAATTTGGAGAGGAATCTTTAGACGATGTTTCGGTCCGTCTTGGTTCATTTTCAAGTAAAATCTGAACCATTTTTGTCGTCTAAAGATTCGTCTTGAAAGCCTGGGTTTGCGGTGAAATGTCCCAGACAGAGTAGTGTGAGGTTTAGTGAGTAGTGTGACTTAGTCTTTTCTCAGCGTCTTATATCATTAATATTTTCCCTCTTGTCTAAAATATATACATTTATTGCTACTCTTATGAAAAAAAACAGATATAAAATGGTAGTGAGATGACCCACAGGAAAGGAAAACCATGCCGGTTATTTACTATAAGAATAATGCACATACCATAACTCCTTCAAGCAAGCATCTAACGAAAATAGAGGAAAAAGAGGGAGGAGGATGCTATAATAATAGAGACAGTAATGGAGAATGAATAGAGAAACAAAGAAGAAAAACAAGTGACATGAGAGAACAGGAAGAAAAAAAAAAACAGGAAAAATAGAGAATGGGAGAATGAATATGTGAAGAAATCGGAATAAGCAGAAATTTAATACGAGAAGGGGAAGAGGGAGGGTGGAGTAGGAGGAAAAGGAAAATGGGTGAGAGAAAAGAGAGAATGAATGTTTGAAAGTAAGAGACGAAGCAGTTGACAGCAGCAAGCAGAACGGACAACAATGTATGAAAGTAGTAGTAGTAGGTTGTAGGTCGGCATAACAATCTGCAACATTACTAAAGGAAAATCACTCGTTACCACGTCTTTTGTTGTCACTAATTTATGATCCATAAAAGCTCTTTCATGGTGACAGGGTGTGGTACGGAACCACCTTCACGGTGACTAATGGTATGGTATGAACCTCGTTCATAGTGACAAATGGTGTTGTATGAACCTCATTCACAGTGACAGATGGTCTAGACCACCAAGGTAGGCTATGGCATTTCCGTTTTGTGGCTACTCAATTTATTTTTCACTGAAAATTTTATTACCTTCATTCTTAAATGTTGTTGCTTATTTCTTATTTGCCCCCCCCCCCCCACTTCCATTAATTTGTCAAGCACAATTGTGGGACCTAACACTGTCGAATGTAACTAGAGGTATCGACGCTACAGGAAAGTCTTCGGAAACATTCCCGCTATTTATGTATTGTTAAATTTGGTTTATTATATATATATATATATATATATATATATATATATATATATATATATATATATATATATATATATATATATATATATATATTGGCTATAAGTCGACCATTTTAACTCCAAAAATGTGGATCTGGTGTTTTCTCTCGTCTGACAAAAGCAATATACAAGCAGTTTCTGTATGAAAAAATAACAGGAATAGTCTCTTGTTCAAATTTATGATTAGTGAAACGTTGCTAACGTTCGCGAATTGCTGACGATCACAAATTACTGTCAGTCTTGTAATTGATTGTGCACCCATGATGTTGGAACTATCCTCTTTTTGGAGGAAGCCTGATTGCCCTCTATTTCCCACGCGCTGTTTCGTCCCCATTCGTTTAACGTTTCCTTATAATAATAACATTATCGTGTTTGTAACGGTATAACTTTTATCTGAGTAGGTTACTTCAGTTTTCTCTAAACAATTTTGTGTATCAGTCCTAGTTGTTTAGGTTAATACATTACTGTATTAATGCAGTTGTGCTGTGATATATTGACTTGTGATGTTACAAATTATGTTGCTTACAGTATTTTTCCGCACATACCTTGCTGATTCGATTTTTAATTTCATCAGTTTAAACGGATATTTTACTGTTGTTCCTTTTTCGGCTTTGTTACCTGTAAGTTGTTACTTATGTCTTTTCTAGTTCAAGAAGATATTCTCATTATTTCCACTAAATTTGGGTGGTATGACGGACAAAAAGGTAATAATCCATATTAAATTAATTCTAGCTATGCTGGTAGCAATCATTTTAAAACTAAACTCAGTAAAATGATATCCATTTCGCTGTACTGAAGCCTCAACTCAGCCAGGCAGATTGCTTTACCTCAGGTGTGAAAATTATTTATGACTGATCGCGGGTTCTAGCCCCGCCCGTTGTATGGTTTGTGAAAATTATTCTTTGTAATGCGGTATGACAGGAAAACTATCCATTTCAATGGAGTATGAGATTAAAACCATTCTTCGTGACGTAGTATGAGAGGGAAAACAACCTGTGATGTACAACAGGAAAGCCATCCTGTGTGTTGGATTATATTAGGTAACTCAAGTTCGTTAAGCCTTGTAAAATGTCATGTAGATCAGGATAGTCACACAGTTTGATGTATCTGATTTTGATCATTTTTTTTTTTGTTGGAGTGAAGGGTTGCGATGGAGCTAATTCTACTTAAACCCGACTGTTACCACTCTCAGCTCTTATTGAAAAGTTTTTTAAGTTCCTATTCAGTTTTTGTTTACCATTATTATTATTAATGCATGCAAAATATTTAACGTAGACAAACAGCTCAATAGGCGACAAATTATTGTAATTATATCTGCAGATACATCGCAGTGCCTCGAAACTCTTAACACTTAAATACTCTTACCAGGAATGGTCTCTTACACATCTGGATAACTATTCCACAACAGTAGGCTAACGCACAGATACTAGGCGGGCGGGGCAGTACGGGATTTAGCAAACTACTTTTTATGTTATTTTGCCGGTCCAGTGTTGTTGTTTTTTAAGGAAAAGCGGTAAATCCACAGGGATTAAAGCAGTGCTAGGGAATGGAAGGTATTCAGATTTGATACGAGGGCCTTAGTTCTGAGTGGCGCATTCTGAGCTGCTCGGTACGTACATATTGGTGCTTTCATTCTCATACCGTAATAGGTAATATTAATACTTTATTTAGTCGTGATACGTAGTTTTTTTTAAGATTTGATGACATTTAAGAATGCACGTGGAAAGCCCCTAGTTATGCAGAGCATTTCATATTAATATGCAGTAAGAAGGTAAGTAACCGCGGACAAATTAAGGAAAATGAACACGAATGAGTTTCAACAAAATTGTTCACTGCCCTCTTTAATTAATACTAGGCTATACAAAGGGAGAGTCACGCTGCATTACCTCTCCACAACTGAGAGTCGTCAGGTCACAAGGTCAGCAGCAGCAATGTGTTGGAAGCTGCGATAAATTAAAAGTTGTTGGAAAGGTCATCAAACTGAACCAAAATAAGTGGACATTGATGTAGAATAGGACATTATTTACCTAATGATTCACTCCATCTAGAACTTTTTCGCGAAATTCAGTTAAGAGCGACATGCTCTCCACAAAAGATTTGTTGTGCATATTTGTTTTAGTCCGCATACTTCTCATCGATACTTGTTATTGTTCATATACCTATTTTCGTTACCTGTATTTACCTATTTTCGTTGTCTGTATTTTTGTTGTGTATCGCTATTCTAACCTGACTCAAAACATCGTGTTTTCGCTTCATGGATCGTTTGTGAACCTACGGCAGGCCAGCTGCTGCTCTACCCAGTAAGCATCAGAGTAGACAACGCTAATTTCTCAGAATGCGGGGCTCTCCCCTCTTGTAAGAAGCATTAATTTGTAAATACCCAAATGTATTCCTGGAAAACCTTTTAGGGGCTAGTTTTTAGGCCATCTGTGTATACGTCTGCTCTTGTGCTACCGTCCACAGGCTGGATATGGAGTGCACAGTAAACTAGTCGCTTCCGTCCACAGGATGAACCTTGGGTGCACAATAAAGTAACTGCTTCCGTCCACGGTATAGATGTGGGGGTGCGAAATAAAGTAGCCGCTTCCGTCCACAGGATAGTTACGGGGTGCACAATAAAGTAACTGCTCCCGTCCACAGGATGGATATAAGGTGCATAATAAACTAGCCACTACTGTCCACAGGATGCATATTGAGTGTACAATAAACGAGCTGCTTTAGTTCCTAGGATGAATATTGGGTGTACTATTTGATAAACTGGCAACTTCGACGAGACTAAAAAATTTAATCCCCTCAATCTGGTGAAAAATACCTCATTAATCTCCTCGCTTAAAAACAAAAGAAAACAAAATACGCAGCAGTTATCTTATCTTTGTTTCGGTATACACTTATCTTCAGTTATCTTTGCACTTATCCCTTCTCTATACGTACTTCTTTTTCAATCTCACGGGAAAAAGGAATAAGAATTCATCTCCTGAAGGCCATACGTATCATAGAAGGCGACTAAAATGACTGAAACAAGGGGATGGCAATCCTGTTTTCTCGACGCGATTACTCACTGAACAATACCATATTTCTTTCTGTTACTAGGTTACATCGCCTTGGTGGGAGACAACCACCGTGTTAAAAAAGAATACTAACCGAATTGTAGATGAAAGGCCGCTAAATACTGGTAATAAGACAAGTTAAAGCAAGGTCTTCATTAAGACAATGTTTTGCTCATGGAGATGAGTTGATAAAACTATCCTTGAGTGAAAAAGTCGTTTTAATTAAAGCTTACGTTGCTCTAAATGGTGCCGTGGAAAAAAAAAAGTTCAACAAAATAAGCCGGTAAAATGATGGAACAGCATGGCTCAAGTGCAGTGGTGTATGTAGCAATGAGTCTACATGCACTGCCAAGATATTAATCCAGATTTTGGCATATATTGCGGATAAGGAAAGCCTTGTTGCAATAGCCGGGTGCTGTTGTTTAAGTAAGAAGGGTATTGTGTCACAGCACTGACCTAAACTACTCAGCTGGCATTAAACGTAGGTAGCAAGGAAGGCAAATCCTACCTCAACTGATCATTTTTGGATACACTACTAAGTAGTGATCCTTTTCTGTATGGGGTGAAATCTAGCTGGAGTAGGCTAGCTGATGCTTAACTGAACGGGTTACTGTTTTATCTACTACCCGTGTCTCGAGATACTTGTCATATTCCCCTGACAGATAAACCACTAGCACCACCTACCACATCCTCATTTTATGCAGTGGTTCAAAAGAGCACAAATTTCATCTATGTTTGTAAAGTCAGATTATAGACCCCACAGGTATTTATCCATTTAGTGACATGCAAGCCTTCTAGTTTTGAGTAATGTATGTCTAGTATGTAAATAAAGTAATTGAAATTTGATCGATAGCATAAAATGAAGGAAAGTGCCTACACAAAATGCTATACAAATTATAACAGAAAATACTGTACATGGCGCTGTAGATGATACGTTTCTATCGCAACGTCCACTACAGGAAGTTTATACACAGTAGGTTATTACTTTATACTGCAAGTACGCAATCAAACGGCTAAATATGAAGCCATAAGAGACTGCAGCGAGGAATTATGTGTTGTGCATGGAAAAGCAAAAATTGCATAGGCAGCACAAACACAAGAATACCTACGAGAGTTAACTAGTACCTCTATCTGTTGGAAACTGTTGGACATCATAGCTATGAGCATATTAATGAGAACAATGATGGACATGACGTGGTAGGCCATGAAGAGGCCCTGGCCCACAGTCTCAATGAACCCATGCTCTTCCTCAAGGTCCGTGCTCTTGGGGGAACTGATACCAAACAGGGACCAAAACAGCGTTGCAAATGTCACGTCCAACCTAGAAAACACAGAGGGTGATCATAGAAAACGGGCACTTGAACATGCCATCACAGAAAATAAACAGAACTAAGAAACATTCCAAAGGAAAACTGGAATACAAGATACTGGAAGGAGAGCCACAGCTGTAAAAGGAGGTAATATATTAATATAAAGATAAAGGTGAGAATCAGGTCATTTTTTGATACAGGAGAAGGGAAGAATGTGCAATACAGGTGGATCAGAAAAAAATGGAATAAAAAGGATCCAGTTTGGTGTGAATATATAAAAATAACATCCATAGCAAAGTTGTTATTGAATTAGCTTGAAACACTAGATGCTTACATCACAAATATATATTCAGAGCATTTCAAAATAAGAATATGAAAAGTAAGTCTTCAGTATTGCATATCACAAAAAAGTAAATAAAGCAAAGTAATAATAAAGAAAAGGCTACGGTTGTCATCCCTCTGTATGACTCGAGCACATCATTCAAAATAATAATTAATGTAGATAACCAATTGTTATAAACTTGTCTGGATAGGCAGTTGATTATTATAAGAGCAATAAATACCACATAAAAATGGCCAGTGGTGATCAAAGGGCAAGCTACCCAGGGCTTTTAGAAAAATCAGATTTTAATTATTTGGTAAAGCGCCAACCCCGTGACAACTTACAAACAACTGACCATCCCAGTGGCTGATCAACAACAAGGATGGAATACATGCCACTCCACAAATCATGGCAATCACCAAAACAAAACCCAAACAGTTACATCCAACTCAGCGGGTCAAGGCTGCAGTAGGCGGCACAGGAGCGCCATCAACCTTTTTTTACCTCCACGATCTGGAAAGAACGACTCATCATGGCAATGAGCATGTTCACCATGACGGTGATGGCCATGATGAGGTAGGCCCCCAGCAGCGAGTGACCGATGATGTCCGTGAAGAGCTGGTCCTGGCGACTTGACATTTCCTTCAGGGGGATAACACCGAAGAGGGACCAGAGGAGGGCGGTGTAGGACTTGTCGATCCTAAGTGTGGTGGAGGAGGTGCCAGGGTCAGTGAGGCACAGTCATACGTATGGGAGAGGCACACACGAGAGTAAATGTTGTAAATATGGGAGAGGGATCAGTTATTACCACTGTAAAAGGTTTCAAGATTAAAGAGTGCACAGTATTCACATGAGGTGAGATTAGTGACTGAGGCATGAACGCAATAGCCATGTACCGTTGATGTGTGGGAAGGGGTGGTCAGGGGTCGCTGAAGTTATATTCGAAAAAAAAACATGATAGTTTGATTTGATAAAGTTAACTTTAACAACTAATTACGTATGTAATAGGATGAGTTGAGCTTCATCCTTGAATTTGTTTTAATTTTAAATTGGTTCTGCCTTAACAAAATATTAATGGTATGCATATAGTCTCAACAAATCTTCCACATTTAACCCTACACAAGGATGGTTGTATTAACTTCATATTATAGGTCCTATATTTAGAAGCTGTGAATTTCCCATTACAATTAAAATACAAAATGCTACATAATAGTTGTTAAACCTCTCATCTCTTTGCTGCAGTCCAGATAATGGCACGTAAGAGGACCTGTAGATAAAAAAAAAAAATTAAGCAGTGTTTATCTTAATTAGAATTATGGGTTAAACACACTGAATTATGGAGCAAAAAAGGTTAAGTGTTTTAGTACGTTCACTTGCCTGTTAACTTTCTGTAGTGATGATGAATGATGCTGCAAAGAACTAGAATGAGATTACAGCATTCTGAGAGCAGGGGTGGTATTTAAATTTATTCCCAAAATATGTGCAATTTTTTGTGTTTAACATACTTCGGTCTACAAATTTGTTAATGGTGTTCTGCATCTTTGCTACATTCCACCTGGTTTTACATTCATATTATCAACTATATGAAAGGAAAGGAGATCGATATTAGATATTTTTATTAAGTTAGATGATAATGAAGAGAAAGTAAAAAGTGTCAAGTAAATTCATAAGCTCTGAACCGTAGTTCTGGAACCGCCGTCTTAGCCTGGAATTGTTAGACATTTTGCCAGAATAAATAGATGATTGCTAGAATAAATAGATGTACAACAATTATCCTCAGGAATCTATATGACAATTAAAATTATTTCCTGTATTGTAAATCACGCTAAAAATGAATAATAGACATCACTGGTGCAAAATTTAAACTTGTTCGTAAAAATCAGAGACAGTACAATATGTGTAGTGTACATCTAGGTGAGTACAAATAGGAAGCGCGTCTGTGTGACGCTCAGCAAACGGAGGATCAAGCCCCCACCACGTCTTGCGCTGAATGACCCACACATGGGTTTAGCGCTTAACATGAATCATATAACTTTATTTTTTTGTACAATATCAGTTCATAGTATATTACATTCTGTCAGCATATTTGTTGCCTCTACTGACATTTAGTACAGTAGCTTCTGAAGCTCTTCTCTCAGTAGTAGTAACCAGTTACCAGTAACCAGTGTACCAGTAGATGACTCACTACCAACCGTCTCTGCCTGAGTCACTGTCTGTATTCATATTGTGCTGACCACAGCAGTATTCAAAGACCCCCTCACATATGGGTACTGTGGGCGGCCAGTCAGTTATATGAGAGTGAGCGAGAGAGAGGCAGGATCGGCTGTGGCGCCCTTCCACATACTTCAGTTACAATATACGTACTACCAGCCTACGTGAGTATTTTTACCCAATCCACGTGTTCGAACTCCCACATGATAAATAGTCAGTTATACGAGAGTGAGCAAGGAGATAGGCAGGCTGTTGGGCGCTCCCCACATTGTCTGTAATTATACGTACTACCAGCTTACGTGAGTATTACTTTACCCTATCCACGTATCGAACTCCCACATGATACTTCTGTATAGTGCATTTTTTTTTTGGAGGGGGGGGGGGCGGATAAATGCGATTGAAGAAGCACATGGATAATTGAATACCACACGGAAAGGCATTTTCCGACATATTCTTTTTTTTTTAGCTAAAATACGTAATACGAAACGGCTGATGATTTACGAATTTTCAGACTTTTTCCTGTCTACCACTAAAATTAAAATATTTTGACGGACTATATTCAGTTTTATTCAGACTTTGTGAGTCGCATTCATACTCAAACTATCTAGAGGAGGTTATTTTCACACCGTGGAAAGACGTTGTACAAGTAGGCTGTTAGTTATTATGTCTGAATCACAATACTTAGTTCATCACCCCCCCCCTAAGGGAGGTTCCTTGACGCTGGTGAGCTCTTGATCTGGGGAATTGGATCTGTGCTTCGGTTCCCTGAACTGAGCCTGAGTACCTCTCATCTCCCCCCCCCCCACATGCGCTGTATAATCCTACGGGTTTAGCGCTCCCCCATGATTATAATAATTAGTTCGTCACCCAAGACAAATTGAAGAACATTTCTTGGGGGCAACATTTCGCTCTCTGTAGAGCTTTATTAAGTCATAACTTGATGAAACTACACAGAGCGAAAGGTTGTTCCAATAAAAGCTGGATTATGGGGGAAACGTTTCGCTGAACTTTGTCGAGCTTTATAAAGTCATAACTTGATGAAGCTCCACACAGAGCGAAACGTTGTCCAAATAAAAACTTGATCTGCACTTAATATCTTTGTCTTCCTAATTGTCGGTAAAGCGCTCTTTCATCTACCACTTTACCCCAGTCAGGGAATATAGGAGAATATAACAAGCATCGTAAGACAGTCCATGAGAAGCACAGACTGTAATTATAGTGAAACAGACGAGGATAGACTAGGAAAAAATAGAAAAAATATATATTTGGAAAATAAAATTAGGAGACTATAAAAATAAAGGAATAAATGCAAATAATGTGCAGTAAAAGTTGCTAGGCTCGTTTCTGTAGTAACCAAAACTACCCTTCGAGGCGGGTGTCTTGATACTGGTGAAGAGATTTTGATTTATAGAATTGGAACTGCCCTCCTCTTCCTCGGATCAGACTAACTACCTCCTATTTTCCAAGGGCTGCATGACCTCCTTATGGTTTAGTTTTTATGAATGGGATAATAATAATAATAATAATAATGAAAATAGATGACACTGTGCTTTTGAGATTTTGAAGAGAAGTTTCAGAAGTTGCTGCATATTTCATTGTTGTAGTTCCTCATGCGCTACACAATTGGGTGTAAACAGTATATGGGTTACATAATTGTCACTCCTTAGCAGCTCCAGTTCGCCCGTCGTAATACATCTAACCACTGACTCGATATTAAAGTGCCTGGTGATTGTTGACAGATGGAGAGTAAACATAAGCACATCTACTTACATAACTTTTTTCAGTGAAATTTACCATACTTATCTTTCTGTTGTGCCCAAAGTAATACCAAAGAATGAATAATGTTGGCTGGACATCCTCTCCTTACTTGAATCAAACCTTCTTATCTCCCAGTCCACAGGTGCTCTATCATCCAGACGGATTTTGCGTTTTCCCCATGATATAAGTTGTTTAGTAAGAATAATAATACTCCATGGCGAAGTGGAAAAGAATTCTTCCTCTGTAAGCCATGCGTGTCGTAAGAGGCAACTAAAATGCTGGGAGCATGGGGCTAATAACTCCTGTATAAATTACTAAATTTAAAAAGAAAAACCACCCTGCTTCGGTGGGATACGGCCGGTGTGATTAAATAATAATAATAATAATAATGCCCACAAGGAAGGTAGTATAGCTGATTGCATTGGCTAACTAAGGCACTTCCTTACACAGCACATTCCGACTCACTATACCACTGTCAGAGTAAGCATCTTTATCCTATTATTACAGGACTGTTAATACAGATATATACACAATATATATTAAAAAAAAATTTCACACTTCAGGTAAACGCGAATACTTTCACGGATGACCTCGTGGGTGCTCGGGTACGTATTCCCCGCGAAGGGTGGGCAAGAATCTTGTACATGATCGTAGATGTGGAAAAATGGGAAAGGATGATGTTTCAGCAGGGTCTACTAGAAGAAAAAAGACTAACAAACT